GACACCGATAATAGTTTTCGTCTATCTCCTATAGAAAAGGGTGTTTCCATTTAAAAGCATCGAATTTGACCCACCCTGTAAATATTTATTTACGTATCAATATAAATCTCTCTCTCTCTCGCTCTCTCGGTCAAAATCGTTTCCAGTAGACAGATTTCTGTTTCATGAATAAACTAAATTCTCGTCTACATCTATAAAGACATCATATCTTGTCTAAAATAAAATATAATTCTAGCATTAACATGAATGAAGTCCCCTTTGTATTTCCTCTTAAATTCCTTCCAAACTACGCCTGAAATGTTTAGCAAAATATTTTTGGAAATATTTCGTGAAACATTTCGCAAAGAATTTATCGAAATACTTTCAGTAAACTCAATGCTATTCTTATGTTGCGGGGAATCTTGGCTTGTCTCGGCCGCAAACTCCGAAACAGATCGAAATCGACCGAGACAAGCCATGATTGGTTGTTGTTATTGGAACTGTTTCCAGAAATGTTTCGAGAAACCAGTTTCGCCAAAACTTTTATTACACAGGTCTATATTCTTCGCACCACTTTGCGAAGCAATCCAGATCAAACTTCTAGGTGGCTTCAGAAAAATAACTAAACATGGAGTATGAATAAATAGCACTGGTTTATAATGGAGTGGAATGTAATACCACTATATTAAACTGATATGTTACCTATGGTAGATTAAATTGGCTATTCCTCTAAGGTACACAAGAATATTTAGTTTTAACTATTATCTAATATTATTAATTACAATATAGTAAAAAATATTATTTCCAAAACTTAATATCGTGAAAGTGCAGGGCGAACAGTGACTAATTTTTCTGGCGGTCCGCCTTTTTGTCAGCTTATAGTCCACGTCACAGCTTACAGAATAACATAGCTTTGACACTCGCCAATTTTTCCCACGCTCGAATTTAAAACGCCCCACTCCGACGATGCGCTAACTGAATTAAGCGACCAACAGTCAGCCTCATTCAGTCGATGCATAGCCTCCACCGGTGGCGCGTAGGGCCGTATTACGGAAGATTTTAATTAGATTTTTTTTCTTATATTTAACCATAGGTATTTGTGCTTTTATTTCAATTTTATTTTTATTGATGGAATGGGAAAAGGTTTTCCGGGATGTGCGGCTGCTGGTTGCACAAATAATTATGGAAATAATTCAAAATATAGTCTGTTTAATTTTCAATTCAAAAGTACATTCACACTTTAGAGCTTTTCAAAACGATGAAGACTACTTATTTGGAGGCTTGCTAATGCCAAGTGACCATTTTTTTATTTAGTTTCCTCATTGGAGGCTATTTTTATAAGCTTTTATTTAACTTGCTTTGTATGTAAACTATCTATGTATGTATGTATGTTTGTTCGGGGCAAATCTTGTAAGCTAAATTAAAACCACTTCTTTTATTGTAGGAGATTGAAATTTGGCATGTAGGTTCAGTCCCGATGACAATACATTTTTTTGCAAGGCATGACCCGAATTTTTGACATCTGTCAAAATGGCGGCATTTTTGAGGATTTTGATTTTTTAAAATTCTATTTATGAATGGATCGGGCTATATAATATATATATATATATATATATATATATATATATATATATATATATATATATATATATATATATATATATATATATATATATATATATATATACAGGTTGTTAACTCGACAGTTACTTATAGAGAAACAGAATGGCAACACTGCCTATTGAGAACGTATGCATTATTGATTTTTCTGGCGACTCGTCCCGTCGCGTCGTCTATCGACGAGCGGGCCGAGGTTATTTCAACCATAAAACTCTTGCCGCGAGTAATGAACAATTTAACAACCTGTATAGGTATATTGTGGGTATATACATATGAAAAAAAATATATGGGCGGCCATCTTGAAAAAATGACAGTTTAATGACATGTCAAATTTTCAAAGTCAACCGATTTTCATAAAAATTGATATATAGGTTGGCCATGGGCTAAAATGAAAGAAAAAAAATTTGAGCTGTCAAATTTGACAGCTGTCAAAACATTTCAAAGTTGTCCGATTTTGATAAAAATTGATACATAGGACGGCCATGGGCGAAAATGAAAAAAAAATGTTGAGCTGTCAAATTTGACAGTTGTCAAAAAAATTTCAAAGTTGTCCGATTTTGATAAAAATCGATGATGGCCGTGGGCTAAAATGAAAGAAAAAAATTTTGAGCTGTCATATGTGACAGCTGTCAAATAATTTCAAATTTGTCCGATTTTGATAAAAATTGATACATAGGACGGCCATGGGCGAAAATGAAAAAAAAATGTTGAGCTGTCAAATTTGACAGTTGTCAAAAAAATTTCAAAGTTGTCCGATTTTGATAAAAATCGATGATGGCCGTGGGCTAAAATGAAAGAAAAAAATTTTGAGCTGTCATATGTGACAGCTGTCAAATAATTTCAAATTTGTCCGATTTTGATAAAAATCGATATATTGGATGCCCCCTACCCCATAGTCGGTTTTCATTTTATTTGTCTCACATTTGAACTGTCAAATTTGACAGCTGTCGTTTTTTTTAAGTTCCCCTTTTTTAATGAAAATTGATATACATATTATTAAGATACCCATAGAAAGTTATTTAAGAAAAAAATTGAGTTTAAGTGTGTGGCACTGAGAAACCAGCATAACTAAAAAGTAGATGATAAATTTTATAAAAAAACCTTTTTTAAAAACAAGCTTTTATTTAAATACACTAAAAAGAATAAAATAAACTCTTTTTCTTTAAAACTTTTATTATAAACTTAGAACGTCATTACACAATTTTAATATTAGATATATAAAAGCTTGTCGCGAGATTTCTCTACATCGATAAACAAGTAAATTAACTAAAACCTGTGTCTACCCTGTCTCATTCTCAAAGTTTCTGTTATGATAGACCACTAGACCAGGAATTACAAGATAAAGTTGTCGTACCAGATTTTTATGAGTGCAAATGTACACTCAAATCTCGCGACAAGCTTTTATATAATATTAAAATTGTGTAATGACGTTATAAGTTCATAATAAAAGTTCTAAAGAAAAAGTTTATTTTATTCTTTTTAGTGTATTTAAATAAAAACTTGTTTTTAAAAAAGTTTTTTTATAAAATTTTTCAGAACAATTTTGAAGAACTTTTCTTAAATGAAAATATATTATGTAAATTCGTTAAATTATTTCAGACAATTAAATTCAACCATCAATCAAAATTTTCCTATAATGTATTTTTTGTTAAATTTATACGCAAAAGTTAGAAATTATTATACCTTAAAGAATATTACTAAGAACTTAAATGTAGCAAACAAAAACCGAAAGCTCCTAATTTAGAAACATTCGTAAATAACTATAAGTAATCAATGTACTTATTTCATTTTGCTGTTATTTCTAGAAATAAATTAATTAATTTGTTTTTTAAATGTTTTTCTTTGAGAATGCATATTTATTTAAAGTCAACAATTTAAAACGTGTATCTAAATTATGTTCTAGCACCAGTCGAATAATTTTTTACGTCACGTGTAAAATTTTTTTGAATACATCTCTGGGCTGACTGGCGCTTACGCGGCTATTGGTTTTGGCGAGAGAGCTCGCCGCTCCAGTGTTCCCCCTCTTTCGAATCGCAAATCCGAGCGTAAAAAGATCAAAGCGGCACGCTACACTGTTCGAGCTGGTTTTTACTTAAGCTGTGTCCACGTTGTAAAACTATTTTAAAAATCGTCTAGTTATTACTTATTTTTGAATGAATTTATATCAAATCATGCTTTGTACTAACAAAAGTATTGTTTACAGTTTTTTCTTAAAAAAATAAGAAAACGTTGCTTTTAAAAAATGTCCGTGGATCATACTTTTGTTGACATCTAGTCAATCAATCATCTTCCCAATCAGCTTGATATATTTATGATATTACCACTATTGCTCATAAAGCAATACTACGGTTATTTTAATCAATTAAGACCATAAACAATGATATAACATATTCAAGTTCATACACTAATTCAATAAAATTAAATAATAGAAATATTGTAATTATATTTCTGCATATTAAGTAAAATGTTTTGTTCTTTTATATATTTACTATACATATTATAAAAGCGTTCAAGTAAGTCAAGTACTAATCTTGTGGAATATATGTATGTATCAACAGAAAACAAGATATAACGAAATATCATCGCAACAACAGATATTTTACTGAGTTTCATCTAGGTTTACTGGTTTCACCAAAATGTATGACAAAAAGATCCTTTGTTTCGGGTATAGAAACCGACACATTGCATTGTGGAAGTAGCACGAGACAAAACGAAATTGAACAACACAACAGGAGACAATCGAATCCTGCATAAACATTCAAAAATCATCTTGCAACACGAAACAGAGAATATAACTTATTTACTTTATTTCTTTATGTATATACGATATTATATATTGATTTTATTAGCCTTAAAGGTTGTTAGTTCTTTGTATAATATTTTAGTTTAATTTTATTTTACTTTTTGTTTTTTACCTTTTCTGTTTTTTTTTGTGGCATATTTTAATTGCAAAAAGTTATCTTGGAAATATTATATATTAATTAATTCTATATGTTATTATGACGTCCATAACAAGATAATTATTTTGCCAACGATCAAAGAGCATAAAAGTGCAATTAAAATTTATTGACATTCAGTAACAATCCAATTATATTTTGATATATTTTTTTATAAATTGTTTCAGTTTATAATGAAAAGGGCAAATGACAATGTTGAGTTTAGGCTATACATTTAATTTTGACTAAATTTATTGTATTCTAGTTATTCTAGTTTGTATAGCGTGTTTTGGTACGAACAGATTTCGGGATTTTTTTTTAGAATATTATTCCGTATTTAGTTATATGTTTCTCCATTAGTAACGATAATATCTTCAAAATCAGATTACATAAATCCGACAATAAACATTTGCATTATCTTTTAGTTTGTCACACTTACATTGAAAACGACAAATATAATTTACTGTTTGCACATCTGTTTAGCGTTATCGGTCACGAAGAGCGAATTATTGTGTTCGCGCGTCGCACTAACTTCATCAAGCAGAAAATCGAACAACAGTCAAAATTCCATATGTCGCCTCGACTATTGCGACAAGTAGAGTGAAAGCATGGAAAGTAAAAGTGAGGAGGCTGAACGGATAAATCTTACAGGAAGCGGGGTGGGAGGAAAAGAAATCCGAATTGTCAACAGGGAGAAAAGAAGCGAGCCCGTGTTAAGTGTGGTAGACATATTGCTATCAATTTTTGTGGTGACGCCTCTTGTTGTTGCCAGCTGGAGAGGATTATGGGGGCTTATGGATTTTTACGGATTTTATTTCCCACCGTTTTCGATTTTCGTTGTCGGTAAGTTAATACATGTCCAACGAACAGTTAAAGAAGCGTTTTATAAACACAGATATTTCGTGTTAATTTGATACTCCAATTTTTTACTTAATAGCGTAGATAACACAGTGCCTTCCATAAAATAAGAATTAATTGTTTTGGTTTGGTTTGGTTGTTTAATTAATTGTTAAATAAATTAGGTTTGGTTAACTCCGCCATTCGCAACTGGAAGCTCATGTCACACACGCTTCCAGATTATTAGTTATACTGGGGTCTGAACTGTATTAGTAGTAAAACATTTCTAATTACGATGTGTTTGTTCATAACATAGTTCTTCGTTTCTATAAAGCATTGCAGCAAGTCCATGTGTCATTTTTAATAAAGGATAAACGAGTTTAATAAAATTCCAATTTTCCGATAATTTTTTTTTAAATTTAGATCAATAATTTGTTACTATTGTTTTTTGATATTTTTGGTATCAAGGGCAAAACATAATTCTTGCGAGTACTTTAATCTATGGCAAGTTATTTTAAACAAACTGAACATGTTAGTTTTCATAATACTCTTCTTCTTCCAACTGCTTCATTCCAAAATTAAAACCTAGTTAAAAACATAATTTCTTGATAATATGGCATCAGAAAAGATCCAGTAGATCTCAAAATTTTTGCAAAAAATCATGTTTTTTGGAAATGTTCAAAGTAAAACTCCCTTATTTTGGACTTGAAAAACGATAAAGAGAAAATATGTTTCTTTTATCGACATCTACGACCCCTTAAAATACTTGCACTTATTTCTGGGACACCCTGTATAATATATATGTGGTTGCAAATTGAAAAATCCACATGTATTTTACAAACCAAAACATTATTTAACCCATCTTTAGAATTTTACTTTAATGTAATTTTATTTAATACGCCATATAGAATTACACTTTTACGATGATTATAATGCCAATTTGAAGTATAAATCTTGGCTCAATAACCTGGAATTCTTCAACTGCTAAACAAATATAAACAGAATTTTTAACATAAAATAATTATCTTTAATAATATAGTACGGTGTTTGTTTTAGCAAAATTTTATTATTATTTATTTAGTAATATAAGATTTAAAATAATATCCATATATTAGTAGCTCGTTTATTGTATTATTATCTTTATTTTGTTTTATATAATGTTACCTATATAATTTAAACGTAAATTAAACACGTTTCTTGATATAACAATAAGAAAAAACAATTATTAAAGTTAATATTTATGTATTTTTTACAATAGATATTTAGGATTTATTTTTCTTTTGAAATTCTACAGTAGTCTTTTTTCTATTTTGTGGTGTATGGAACCACGTGATAGATTCTAATTTTACTGGGGCTGAGTTAAACACAGTGCAATACTAGATTTGTTTATTTCAACGCTCAGAGAAAAAATGGGAATAAATTTACAATGTCGTACGATCAGTACTCTGCCTTCTCATACACGTACCGGAAACGGATAATATGCTATATCTTACATATGGTAAAGGCGGAATATTTTTAAATATTATTTTTATAACAATACTACAATACCCTCCCCTTAATTTTTTTTACTACAAAAAAATATATCTATTCTTTTTTACACAATTGGTATTTAAACTTAATCAATAATTGTTTAAACTTAGTATTGTTTGAATCAAGTATTATACAATTAATAACTTTAAACATAATCCCCCTAAAAATAACTCCTTTAGCATTCAAAAAATTAATTAAAAAATTTAAAATTTCCTAAATGATCTAACTATTCCTACTCAGATCCAAATCTAATAAAAGGTTTTATAATCCTTCTTGGTCTTTTATTTTCTCCAAGAACAATTTCATTTTTCTTTAAATTATTATTACTGTCATTATTAATTTATGAACACTCTGGTTGTTCTTCATTTAACTTATTTTCTAATTCTAGCCTATTACTATTAACACTATTATCTATATTGTTATCTAATCTTATATAAACTCTTAATAATGCTTTAGTCTTGAACTCGGAAAATACTAATTTAGTATTATGCAAGTTCCTCTTAAATTATAGGGTTACTCCACATTGAATAACTGGGGTGGGTCCTGCGACTTTAATGTCTAATGAAATTTAAGAACGAGGTAATCTACTCTTTTACCTACTGACAATATATTAGTTTTTAAAGAGAGCATAGATACAAATATATTAAGTAAAAGGGTTTAAAAGGGTTAAAAAGCTCAAAGCAATAAAATAAAAAAAGTAAGCCAAATAGAGAAGTAAATTTTAATGTAAATGAAACTGTGTTAGTCAAGAATTATAAATATGTCGACAATCAAACTTTTAATAAAGGAGTTGGTAAATTTGGTGAAAATACCAGAATTTGAAAAACTTTGGAAGAGACACACTAATCAATTAAAAAAATATACTTTACATTTTAATGAATCTAAAATTCCAACTCATCTCAATGGAATGTTTGTACCAATCAGGCTAATTTAGGAATTAGTCCAAAATTTAATGTACAAAGTGTAAATATAGATAATGGTGTTAATAATAATAGGCTAGAATTAGAAAATCTTCCTTCCTGCATGATATAAACATAAGCTTATGATATATTTTAAGTATATGGATATATTTTTGTCTCAATACGAAACTGTTCTAAACTTTTCATTGACTAAAATATTCTCGCATGCTCAGATATTAAACTTCATGGAAAAGTTCACGGAAATCTTAAAATACCATCGAATGTTAGAACGCCGTTAAACTCGTTCTGGAACTTACTATACTGTTAAATTACCCCTGATTAACGATACTTTTGTAAAATTGTCGGAAAATAAAACTAAAACGAACTACCACAATTTCCTTGTCGGCAATAAAAATCGAGTTTCAAGCGTTAACCTAATTACTAATCGAGCAACTGAAAGTTTATTTGCTAATTTTTCTAAATAATTTGAAATGCTTTACACTACGAATGCATTTGAGCTGTAAAAAAGTTTGTAAATAAGTATTAAAGTGTCCTTTATGCTGTTAAGGATAATCTGGATGAGGCCTAATTTATTTACGTGGATTCTAAATCGCAGTCCTTGGCTATATCTTTGCCAATGACCTACCGACTAAGCGAATATCTACATATATCGACTTTTACTAACGATATACAGGGTGTACCATGCTTAGCGTGCATTAGAAGTTTCTGGAAAACTACAATATCTAGATCGGCGACTGGATTGGTTCACAACAAGATTTGTCGATTAAAAATATTTTCAATATGGCGGAGCTTCCGGAAATAGCGGAAGTTGACAGCAATTTTCTTATTTAAAATAGCAAAAAGTTTTTCTGTAAAATTTTATGAATTTTGGTATCAAACACTCTATATATACCAAACCAAACCTATCATAAACCTTTTTTGAAAAAAAATATCTAAAACTTTTGGAAGAATAAAACTGCCTGTCAAAAAAATTTGTATAGTCTAAACGTCAAATTTAGTTATTACCCCAGCCACTGTGAAATAAAGAGAAGACATGTGGCTATCTATTTCAAAAATAAAATTGTTCGAATGTCATATAACATTGGTCGTAGCTGTTATGGAATTGAACGATTAACAAATTATCCATTATTATCTATGACTAACAGACGACAATTTCATTTAATGACATTCATTTATCGAATTTTAACTACAGAGCAGCCTCCCTATTTGTTCGGATTGTTTCACTACGTTGACCATGATCATTCGACTAGGCAAGTGCATTATTTTAAAATTCCTCAAAACCGAACAGCTAACTTCCAAAAATCTTTCAGTTTCATAGCGCCACATTTGTGGAATAATATTTCTAATAACTTTAGATTTCAATCCTTTACAGATTATAAAAACAAAAAAAAATTAATTTACTAAATTCGTAAAAAATATAATTTCTTCGACTGATTTGTGAGGTTCTTGTTCTTCTGATATGCCCGTCATTGGTTGCTGTTCGGGTTTTTACACTGTTTCGTTATGCTTCTCTCCGCTCATCCCTGATAAAATTATATTTTCACTTTTTTTTATCTAATTTTAGTTTTTTTAATTTTGTTTATTTTTTTAATTTAATTTATTTCTATTTTGTTTTTGGGGTCGCACCACTCTGGCACTTTGTGTCATTGTATCGGTTTTTTAATCGCGGTGCGATCCCTTTAGACACACATTTATTAATAATAATATTATTCTGGAAAACTTAATGGGGTCTAATAAAGAAATTTGAATATGAATTTGAAATTATCATAAATATTTTTTTCAAATGGCAACTTACTTGTCTTTTTTCACTAATGAAAGGGTTTTTCAATTCGTTATTTTTTATTATACATTATACCCAAAAAAAATTATTTTTAAGTTATTTAAGATTTAGTTTTTTAAAGCGAATAGTTTTCTTGACCTTTTTCTCGACACATTAAATGCCAAGCGATATAAAACAATATATCTGGCCATGTCATATTTGGAGACTTTGTTAAAAATTGGTACGATTGGATAGTTATTCTTTTGTTACTAATTTATTATCCCTGATTAAGAACACTTCAGTTGAACAACAAAACGGTGATTTAAACCGCTTTCTTGTCGAAAATGAAAAGGCGCATCTAAATCGTTAACTTAATCAAGTACTTATCGAACAGACTGTAAACTTAGTTTGCGAAATGCATTTAATAATTAGAAAAGTTTTTAATTGAACTGGGAATTGACTCGGGACAAGAAAAAATCTGACGGCTCTCGAATCGCTCCATCTTTTTTAACAGACTCGTAGTGCACTTTATTAACAAGCTTTTATTCCATCAAAAGAGTTTTTTTTATTAATAAAAATCGTAAAAATTCAGAAAGTCTTATAGTTAACATAAATTAACTTCTTAATTCAAATAATGTTAATACTTTTTTTACTGAAAATAATTTATATAGTTCATATGAAATAAACTTTTAATCACGTGATTAAACTTGACCGGCACAGCGTTGCCCACCTTTACATATTTTCTTTTAATCAAAATATTTTAGAAAACAAAAACAAATTAATATAAATGTATAAAGAGTTATTTATAAAAACAGAGAACGAAGCGACAACATAAGACAAACATGCAAGGTGGATAGCATTAATGAATGGGTACTGAACAGAAGACGCGAATGGGATGAACATATAAGCCGAATGGACGAGGGAAGAATGGTAAGGTCAGACTCGAGACAAATCACCACTGGGAAGAAGAAATGCGGGAAGGCCAAGAAAATGATGGTGTTATAACCTTACAATCGATTGAAATTTTAGGCATGATGTGAAGAATGAACAGGCAATCTGCCTAATATAGAGTAAGAAGGAGAAGAAGAAGAAACAGATACATCAACAAAACTAACCTACTTAACAGAATTTACGAGACATAAAAGGCCATTACTACCGCTTTCCCGTTCAAAATATTCTAATAAAGTTGCGATGAGTTCTTTTACGACTATTAAGCTCTAAATTAGGATCGATTGACGTATTCAATTGTTCTCGGTCACTTCCTGTTTCACCACAAATGACTACAACTTTTGCTTTTTAAACGGCACATTCGGTATATTTTTACTTTATTTGATAGAAAATGACACTCTGAATAGAATTATATGTCATTCTCATATGTCAACTTTTGACATTTTCGCTGAAAAAAAAATAAAATTTTAAATTTAAATCTAGAGTCCCATGGCTGTATTGAAAACACTGATCAAGGATCCTTGGAAAAAAAAATTTGATCATCTAATATTTTTCGTGTCTTGTCCTGGCAGGTTCAAAGATCCTCAAATTGTATTTTTAATCATATCTCAATTTTTTCGAATGGAACAAAGGTGGCTTATTAGCATATTTGGAAAAAGCATTTTTTAACGAATAATTTGATACCGCACATTTGGTATTTCGAGTCAAATTATCGTTATAAACCGCATGTTACAATTTCAAATTAACCATATGCAAAACTCAAAAGTTGACATATGATATGTCATTCTATTCATAGTATTATTTTCAATCAAAAATAGTAAAAATATACCAAAGATGCCGTTTGAAAATCAAAAGTTGTAGTAATTTTCGGTGAAGCAGGAAGTGACCCAAAACAATTAAATATATTAGTTCAATCTTTTACACTTTGCACCAAAGGAGGTTTTAAAAAGAACAATGTTCGACTGCAAAGTCTGCTAGTAAAATTGTCTAGGCTTAAAGTATGACAACTTGCAATACAAAACTAAAGTGTCAAGTCGAATGACAATGTTATGAAAAAAATAAATAAATGTGGCAACTTGCAATTTTTTCTAGCAGAGCAACAACCTGAATCCCCAGCGGGAAATTTAAATTACAGTTAGGTAGCCCGGCGCCGAATATGTCCATGGGTGGCAACAATGAATTTAAAAATCGCATCTTCGATTATGTAACCAAAACTTTAATTGGTATTGAATATAGATAATTCTCTATGTCCTATAACCATAAAAGTGGGCTTACATGACTCAAGTCAATTGATCAAGTCACAGGAATTCAATTGACTTGAAAGTATATTCCGAGTTTACCCGTTTCATATCAAAAAGTTTCTGCTAGTCGATTCAAACTGTCAAAATTTTGGCTACAAAACTAAGTTGGCGTAAAAAAGTAGACGTAAAAGAAGAATATGGATCTGAAAATGGATTAGCTACAGATATAATTATGGTGTATCTAATCACGTAATACCTAAGCTATTGTTAGAAGATCCTAAAAATTACAAAAAAAATAAAAGTAGATCCAAACCAATTTAATTTAAATTACTTTTTGTTGGGAATCTGACACTGAATTTAGAATGATACATAAATAATACTCGGTTTAACTAATATGTTTTGGATTGGATGTGTTCCATATCCACTCTTATTTTGTTTCTTCGTTGAATAATGTAACAACACTGTCATATTTTTTGTATTCCAGGAATTACTATTCATGTAATCTTAGCTTTATGTCAGGACACCCTCCATGATGCTATCATTGAATCCGAAAAACATTGGACTTTGAAACTAGTATCACATTTCTTAAGAAGATTCTACACCTACATATTTCTAATTATAACTATATTCCATTGGAGAGGTATACTTATTATATACGTATATATTTAGTTCAGGATATATTTCTTGTTCTAATAATCAATTCTATTACAGTCATCGGCACGAAAAACGGGCACCTTAATATTTTGATGTACTTTAAAGTTTTATATACCGGGTGCCTCTTAAAAGTGGCTCACCCCTATAACTTTTTATTCTTTCATATAAAAAAACAGATTTGGTATGTTAGTATATGACATAAATTATGATCGATTGACGTACTCAATTGTTTTCGATTACTACCTGTTTCACCGTTTAACGTTGCCTAACCTAAGCTAACCTAACCAGATTTTGACTCCAAATACCAAGTGCGTGGTATCAAATTATTCGTAAAAAAATGTATTTTCCAAAAATGAGCTGCCCTCGTTTCACTTGTAAAAATTGAGATATGATTAAAAATAAGATTTAGGCATCTTATTATTATTTAACCGGTCAGGAGAAGACACGAAAAACATTAGACGATAAAATCTATTTTTCCAACGCTCCTTTTTCGTTTCCAAAAATCTCGTTTTTTTGCCTGAGAAGTAAATAAGTCATATGGGTGAGCCACTTTTGAGACGCACCCGGTATTATGTTTTAGAGGACCGATTTTTATGATATTTTAAGCAGTTTGTAGCAAAATTATTTGACTTTTTAATCTCTTTCTATATAAAAAATGAAATTTCCCATCTGTCAATTATACGAGAGAATAGAAAATGTTGTTTTTTAGCTCTGTGGAATATGTAAAAAAAAAGCAAGCAATTATAAATTTATCATCTAGGTGCACCTTTTTTGTCGATAGTTTATTTTTTGGTTCATCTCAACAGCTTTATTTGTTTTGGAGAAATTTCTCTAATCTAAAGAAGACACCAACATTTTTGGTAATTTTGACATTAAGCATCTGTTGACTAGGACCAACAGCAAAGGCATAATTTTAATGTAAAAATTACGAAAAAATGCTAGTATCTTTTTCAAAAGCGAATATTGCCAACAAAAATAAAGCTATTGAGATGAACTAAAAAACAAATTAGTGAGAAAGGATGTATCTAGATGATACACTATTTTAAAATTCCCTGCTGTCTTAACATACTCCACAGGGTGTTTAAAACCTTCACCAAAATATCAATATTTTGTTTTCTCTGGTATAATTAAAAGATAGGAACTTTTATTTTCAATTAAGAAAGAGATACTAAAAAGTAAAGTAATTTAGCTACATATTACTATAAAACAAAATATATCAAATTTTAAAATACATCAAAATTTTAATTTTATTTTATTTCTACTACACTCACAGGCACGAAAAACGGGCATTTAGTACCTCTGAGTGTAGTAGAAATAAAGTTGTTAATATCGTAATATAAGAATGTTTAACAAAACATTTAATTAAAACAAAAAATTAAATAGAATGTGATAATTTAATTAACTGACATAGCGGATACATATTTACTGTATCAATTTTTAAAAAACGCCACACGTAGCGTTAAATTTAAATAACATTGTAACACTAAATAATTAATGGTTAGGTTCAATATTCAATTTTAAATCAATAATAATAATTTCACTATCAATTTTTTTTTCTTTTTTAGGGGGTTGGATGATTTTGGATTATTATACAAATGTACAGTATACTGATGATGGAGTAACAAAAAAGGAAAATTCCCAATGGATTTTATTGATTTGTACTGGATGTTTTATAACGCTGGCTTGCATGAAAGGATTGAGAAATGCCACAGCACCACCTTACGGCATCTGTTTGGATAAAGGGAATTTTGTGTTCAAATTTCCCACAATGTTCAAATTTAATGTAAAATTATTTTTTTTAGTCTTACCACATAGTGTCAAAATTAGAACATCTAAGAAGCCACTCAAAGTACCAATAAATTAAACAAAAGTTATTTAATTTAATTAAACATAAAAATTTCAGAAAAAGATAAGTTCTGCATTTTAGTTAAAAATACGGATTGAATTTTAATCTGATTAAGCAAATAAACCCCAATTATATAGTGTCGAAAATATTCTAGTATAAGTGCTAATAATACAAATAAAAGTTGATTGTTCTATGCTAGGAAATGTACAGAGTGACCTAACTAAGAATGGACGCCGGCTTTATTTCAGATTTTTTTATGCAAACGCGCAATATCTGCTATGATATCAAACAACACCCTCTAGTTACCACTGCAATATTATATATATATATATAGACAAAATACATACTGCAGATTATTGGGGAAGAAAAGCTATTTGAAAAAATCCCCAGTTGGTTTAATTCCATTAACCCACACTATATTTATATTTATTTTAATAAAAGATTTTATTTTAATAAATAAATATTTTAATCCAGAAAAATTACAAATTTTCTATTGATTATAACAGTAATATTTAAAATTCCTCTTCACCTATATATTTTCGAGAATTTTAGAAAAAGAACTTGAGAATAATTTCCAGCGATTTCTCTTGGCTGACTAACTTATTAGAATTTTTTCCTCAAAATTATACGAAAAGTAGTTTTTGAGATACCAGCCGTGGTTCATTTTTAGTTGACCACGCCGTATATTAATTTTTTATAAAATTTTAAGTTCCATTTTTTTTCAATACAAGAGTTACGTTAGATAGTTTAAAATGAAGCTAATCAATCACATACCTTGTAAGCTTTCTACTCTAAAGGCTCCCACAGTCGCTCAGTTTTTTTATACAGACCGCTTGGGCAAATATCATTGACGTAGGCATATCAGCACGTGTGTGGCACTTCCAACAGACTGTTGGCTAGACCTAGGCAAAATCAGCTAAACTGCGAAGCCTGTGAGCTCGTTCAGTCCAGTCTACTATTAACTTGAAACAAAATGTCGAATTAAATAAACAGTTTTTATGTTAATTCATAGAATTATATCAAAGGTTATTATGTTTATGGAAAATAAAAGTATGGTGACAGCAATAAAAAATAATTTCTGCTGGTTTGTGCATACTCATTGGACAAAGCAGCATAATACAAGACGGAATTGTATCTCGGGAAGATCTTTTCCTTGTAGAAAAATTTTTCTAAAATTATTAGAGAGCGAACCACTCACAAAACTGTGCTATAAGAATTCGTGTGTACGTAACAGTCAATAATACAAGTTAAATTGCGCAAACTAGCCTGCACAGTCAACCTGCACTAAAGAATTGAGTTTCTGATCATTACAAACAGAATTAAGAGATTCATATAATAAACAAACTGGCTAAATTACCACTGGCCGGTATAAGAAATTGACGAAAGAAATACCGTTGTTTACCTATCATGAATACCGCCGACGAGGTAAATTTTTCAAGTAAGATGGTTGTTGCTAAATATTTAAAAAATACCGCCGCGGCCGTTAGAGGATATATTTTTTTAAAAACATTAATACCGCCCTTATTTTTTCAAATTTTATTTATTATTGTTTTTCCCATTGTAGATTCCTCGATTCTGTCTCTCTGCTCGTTTCCTCAGTCATGAGGGTCGTGACCTCTTTGGAATGCCTCTATTCCCCTTTCTATTGTCTTCTTCCACATTTCTCGATCTTCAGCCTGGTGAAACGATACGTGAAGCGGTCGGTCTGTGATTTGTTTGATTTGATCAGACCATCCCATAGGCGATCGACCTCAACTTCTCTTTCCCTGTGTTTCTCCCATCACTATAAGCCTGTCTATGTTGTCATTTCGTCTTCCAGCCACGTGTCCAAAATACTGCAACACCCTCTTAATGCATAATGATGATGTCTGGTAGTTACACTTAACTATTCCAATATCGACTGATTAGTTCTCCTCAAGGTCCATGGAATTCTAAGCAATCTCCTGTAGCAGCGCGTTTGAAATCTCCAGTAGCACCGCGAATCAATATATTTGCGTTCTTTAACTCTGTGTCCCCGATTTTGAGCTATATGAGAAAATTGGAAAGACCAACGTTCGGATCAGATTCATTTTAGTGTTTTTGGCTATGTATGAGCTTTCCATTTTTTTTTGGTGATGTATGGCTATGAGCAATGTTGGTAAGCTACAGTGCTCTTGCATTGTAGGTTCCTCGATTAGGTACTAAAAAAAACCGCCTATTAGGGGGTATATTTTCTTAAAAATATTAATACCGCACTTATTTTATAAAATTTTATTTGTTATTGTTTCTCCCATTATAGGTTCCTCGAGTAGGTACTGTTAAAATAAGACTTCCATTTTATTGCATACAAAAATAAAGATTTTTGACATCTTAGATGCAAAATAAGAACGCAACAAACACTAAACTTTTTTAAAACACAATAGAAATACAAAAATAAATGTTATGTTATCAATTCGAAATGAGTTTGTCAGAATGGGGGGCTTCAAAACAGTAATGATTTGGTGGTCAGTGGATCTTATGTTACGTTATTGCCTAGCTACAACACAAGCAATCAAAACACGCTTTATTGCTTTGGTTTCACTCTTTTGTTGTTTTTTTTTGTTCTGGGTATGGTATTTGATGTTTAAATTATATTATGTCGTTTTTGGACGGCCATTTATTTACCAAGTTTTGTTCATACCGCAGTCACCGACAAACTAATTCAATTTTCCACTGGTATTTACAGATATAGAAATATCATACCTCCGGATGACGGTATTTTTTTGTATACACTAGCAATACCGTCAACGCCGACGGTTATTTAGCCAGTGTGTAAATTTGTCAAATAGTCAATTTGCTAGATCAGATCAAAGAATTATCCAGATTTCCTAGACTAATTTTTATTTACCTCCACTTTCCTTGATTTATTTGCTTCTGTTGATTGAAATAAATATGATAATATACAAGGTGTCAAGAAAATAGGGTATCTAACTTCGGTAGGTGATTCAACAGATAAAAATAAAACAAAAAGTTAAAATGGTTCCCGAAGAAATTACTGTACTCGAAAGCTTAAATAAAAAATATATATATTTTTTATTTTTAAGATCATTGGTAAACCGTATTTACTGAAATTTGGTACTCTTACACATATTTTAATGCCAAAGCATTAAGGTAGAGAGTACTACTGATGGTACTTATTTTATCCTTACAGATACAGTAATTTCAACAAATGATATAAAAAGCTAGAACTTTTTTACGTACAACAGGTGTACGCCCTTTAGTTCGTAAAAATGAACGGTTATCGAGATATTTGCGTTTAAAGATTACGATGCATCGATTTCAGCATAAATGAAATGATAAAATGTTGGGAAATTTTAAATAAATTATTAATCTCCTGATTTCCCTAATGCTAAAATCGATGCATCGGAACATTTAAAAGCAAAAATCTTGAAAAACCGTTCACCTTTTCGAACAAAAAGAAGATCATTTTTTTTCATAAAAAGATCCTAGTTTTAATTTTAGTTTATTGAAATCCATACTAATATATAAAATCCTTAAGTGACTGACATACTGATTAATCACGATCCTGCTCAAACCACTCAACGTAAGAAGCTCAATTTTGGCATACAGGTTGATTCTAAGGTGTAGAGATTCGATAAGAAGGGATTTTTCGAAATTCCAGTTCCAAGAGGGTGAAACCACCCCTCAAATATTACAATATTTTTTATTTAAAAAACGGTCAAGTTGCTGAAAAAACGCTTAAACACGTACATTTTATTTTGTTTTTTTACATATTTTAAGATTTTTTAAAAATGTATACAGGGTGTTTCGAAAAATCTGGTCATTGATTAATCACGATCCGGCTTAAAGCGCTTGACGTAAAAAGCTGATTTTTGGAAAACAGATTGACTTTAGGGTGTAGAGATTCGATAAGAAGGGATTTTTCGAAACTCGAATTTTAAGGGGGGGTGAAACTATCCCTCAAATATTACAATATTTTTTATTTAAAAACCGTTGAGTTTTTCGGAAAAACTCTTAATCACGTATATTTTATTTTGTTGTTTTACATATTTTAAGATTTTTTATAAATTTATACAGGGTATTTCATAAAATATGACCATTGAGTAATCACGATTCTGCTTAAACTGCTTGACGTTTAAAGCTGATTTTTGGCAAACGGATTGACTGTGGGGTGAAGTTGGGTAATTTCTTAACCACGATTCTGCTTAAACTGTTTGACGTAAATAGCTTATTTTTGGCAAACGGATTTTTCGAAAGTCAAATTCGAACGAGATGAAACTACCCCTCAAATATTACCAAGTTATATAATAATATCGCCATATTGTTCTTTCTCATGCTGACATAAATGTGAGAAAATTTTATACAGTATTTATGTTAATGGAAATTCTTGCTTTGCTTTATCATCACCATTACAAATGATTAATTCGACGCGAACGAAGTCGCTGGTACACGCTAGTTACTGTATAAAAATAATTTAGTAGTACTCTCTAGCCTAATGGAAAAATAATAGTTATTTTTTATACGATTTAAGACGATAAAATGGTATTTCATCGTCGACCGAAAAGATTAATTTAATTAATAATAAATTTTGAATTAATTTCGTGAGACGATAATGCAATTTTATCGTCGTGTATAAAACAACATTTTTTCCATAGCGAGTTACGTTTTAAAAAATATTCAGAAATTATTATTTCAAGGACTTTATTACGAGTAGAAAAAATATTGTGCTGGGTTGGCGTTGGTTTCTATGTAAATTGACAAATAAATAAAACTGTCTCTTTAGTTGTCAGTTTTGAGTCAATATTTTTTAATTCTCTTTCGTATTGATTGCTGATTGAATTGGAGCCAGAAATGGCTCAAAACGAAATAAGTAAATTACCAACAGATATTCAGGATGAGGCGACAAACGCTATACCGAAACTACATTTAAATCCCGAATAACTTATGAAAAGGAATACAAAAATGTTCAAAAATGGAAGCAATTAAAAAACGTGGGAGAAGAAATAAAGTTTTTAACTTATCCTCGCTGTTAAAATATCATTTAATCTACCCTTGCGGTTAAGGTACTATTTTATCTACTATTTTTGATAGATATAAGGCAATTTTAACAGTATTGCTATGGAAAAAAATAAAAATTATTTAACCTTTCGGAGGCTGCAACTTCTTCGGGAAGCATTTTAGGGCATATGTTCATAGAAACTTTTTGTTTTATTTTTATCTGCAGAATCACCCGCCGAAGTCAGATACACTATTTTTTTGAAACCCTGTATAAACAAATAGAAATTAATTTACAGGCTCAAACAAATACGATGCTTTACCTTCTAGACTGCTTGTTTTCCGTGGCTGTAGTAGGTAACCTAGTCATTTTTTTCTGGAGGGGATTGTGGGTAGTAACTGACATAATTATATTACCAGACAATTTTATTCAGTCATCATGGGCAAGCTTGGTATATCCAAACAAATTCAAATTATCATAAACAATTTTCTAAGTTTTAAAAATTTTAGGTATTGGGACTTCTACTAGTTGGTTTGGTCTATAGGCTACAAGCTTGCATGAAAAAGCTGTGCACATCGTTAAAAGGCTTCGCCAAGCTTTTTATAGCTGATTTTTATATTTTACTTTCAATTGTTAGCACACTTCTGTTTTGGAGAGGAGTATGGAACTTGTTAATAATATATTTTTTGCCAGGTAAAATTATTGTTATTTTATAAATTAATAGTTATTTTTTATAAAAGACCATTTTATCGTTGACCGAAAAGATTAATTTCGGGAAACGATAATGCAAGTTTATCGTAGCATATAAAACAATATTTTTTTTCCATAGCGAGTTACGTTTTAAAAAATATTCATGAATTATTATTTCAAGAAATTTATTACAAGTAGAAAAAATATTGTGCTGGATTGGCGTTGGTTTCTACGTAATTTGACAAATAAATAAAGCTGTCTCTTTAGTTGTCAGTTTTGAGTCAATATTTTTTAATTCTCTTTCGTGTCGATTGCTGATTGAATTGGTGCCAGAAATGGCTCAAAACAAAATAAGTAAATTACCAACAGATTTTCAGGCTGAGGCGACAAACGCCATATCCAAACTACTTCCATTTAAATCCCGAATAACTTATGAAAAGGAATACAAAAATTTTCAAAATTAAGGAAGCATTGCGGTTGAAGTACTATTTTATCTACTATTTTTGATAGATATAAGGCAATTTTAACAATTGCTATGGAAAAAAGTATTATAATGTACTTGTGAACTTAATACTAATTATTATCATTTATATTGGTGTCAAGCGTTTCAGCGTGATCAAATATGATCAAAAGCTTTTTTCATGTTATTTTCTAACTTAATATTAAAAAAAATATAAAGTCAATAACACTGACCTAGTTTTGCTGAGCAATGAATCAACAACATAGTGGATAAATTGAAACATTTAAAGTATCGCCGGTAGGTAATAATTCAGGCGTTATAATTTAATTGTTTATACTCTGTTTATGAACATTTGCTAACAGTTTTATAGGCTATATATATATACTATATAAACTTAAATCTTCTTAGAAACTCAGATAAAACTAAGTGTGTTTTAGTTCTACATGAATTTCTAAAACTGAAAACTTGTCAAATAAGTATTTTATGTACCTACAACTTCATCCAGAGCTAGTTAGCTGAACTGAAATTTTGAATAAGAAATTCCAATTAGATAAAAGCCAATATTAGAATAGATATAAATCTAAATAATTAAACTATTGTCTGTGTTTCTCCAAAAAAGTTTTCTAGGTATTTCGCCACTTGCAAATGCATTGCTTGAAAATCTATAAAATAAAGTAGTTATTTATTTAATCAAATATCTTTTCCATGATATTTTAAAGATCAATATTAACAAGTAATTAATAGCACTGATCTAGTTTTTATATGAGCATCTTTCTACAAGATGGTGAATAAATTGAAACCTTTGAATACATTCAGGCGTATCTATAATTTAATTAACACATGGTGCATTTTGTCTTAATCCTAAAATCCGGACACAATGTTGCCTTTTTTTAATGGTGTTTACAACAAATATCTATTTGATTTTGTAGATTTTCTTACAGCACATGTGGCGAAATACCCAGAACACTTTTTTGGAGAAATGAATCCGTCGTAAAGGTATTAGATATTATTTATTGCCTGTAACTGTGTCCTTGTCACTCTTTGCATATATCCATCATTAATTATTCCTGATAAGTTATACGACTATACCGGGTGTATCTCGAAAGTGGCTCACCCTTATAACTTTTTTATTTTTTTCAGATAAAAAAAACAAGATTTGGTATGTTAGTATATAAATTAGGATTGATTGACATATCCAATTGTTTTTGTTCAATTTCTGTTTTACAGGAAATAACTACAACTTTTGATTTTTAAATGGCACCCCAGTATATTTCTACTTTATTCGATAGTAAATGACACAGAATAGAATGACATATCATATGTCAACTTTAGACATTTTCGTATAAAACAAAAACGTATATTAAATTTCAGTCTAGAGTGCCATGGCTGTGTTAGAAATAATAATGTTTAATCAAGGAGCATTGGAAAAATAGTTTTGATTGTCTAATACTTTTGTTATCTTGTCCTGGCCGGTATAAAGATGCTCAAATCATATTTTTAATGACATCTCAATTTACTCAAATAGAATAAGGGTGGCTCATCAGCATGTTTGGAAAAAGCATTTTTTACGAATAAATTGGTACCACACATTTGGTATTTCGAGTCAAATTGTCGTTATGAACCGCATGTTACAATTTTAAATAAACCATGTGATATATCATTCTATTCAGAGTGCTATTTTTTATCGAATAAAGTAGAAAAATTTCGAGGATGCTATTTAAAAATCAAAATTTGTAGTACTCTCCGGTGAAATAGGAAGTGACCAAAATCAATTGAATGCGTCAATCAATTCTAATTTATATCATATACTAACATACCAAATCTCGTAATTTTATCTAAAAAAAAAACATAAAAAAATTGGCGCCGTGAGGCACGTATAGTCGCCCATACTAAAATAAGTTAATAAAACGTTGGTAGGCAGTTCTTTTAGTTTCAAAGTAAAGGAATTTTTTCAATTTTGGTTCAGGGTTATTCCCCCTATCCGCCACCTGGGGTCGCGTCCGATGGGAGTTTGGAGTTCTCCACACGGATTTTCTCAAAACGTACTACGGAAACACGGAATATCTCAAAAACTGCGACTTTGATTTCGATATTACAAATTTTGTTGCAAATATTATTCCTAATCTTAAATTGAAAACCGTGTTTCGCTAGCTACTGTCATTTTGGAGTTACGATTTTTTAAAATTTTTAACCCCCTCCCATACCCCCTTACCAATCCCCCACACCCCTCAAAAACTAATGGCCAGATTCTCGGGTGCCACAGTATTTTTGTGCCAAATTTGGTTAAAATCGGTTTAGCGGTTTTTGAGTTATCGTGTTACAGACGAACAGACTTAGAAGGGCTCCTTATAAATTTTGATAAAAAAGAACGCATATTAAGGTACCCAACATTGGATAATATACATTTTATATTAGTCGTAAGAAGTTCTACATATTTTTTTAAAGTTAAAAAGCAATATTATGTACCTTAGTATGAGGTTATCATATTGCTTCATCTTTGTTTCTTTGTTCCTGGATTACAGTACTTTAAAAACGACCAACTATGTTTCTGGTATTTAATAAATAATTAAACGGCTCTCAAAATAACGATTCTCTATGGATTAAAAGTTACTTCGCAATTTTCATTAAATATCTACTCTTGTTAAGAACGCCGGGATAAAAGTAAGCCGTAATTATCTAAGTTTGTGTAGAATACTACAATTATTGAATTTAAAAAAAAATGACGTTAAAAATTAAAAAAAAACACGAAAATTCACATAATGGCGTAAAATTCCTCGATCGATAATTTGTTTTAGACTCAGTATTGCCAACCATTTCAATCATTGTTGATTTCTTTGTATATAAGGTAAATTAATCCTAAGAATCATTTTTGCTATATGATTTTCTCGTTTAATATGCATAATATCCATAAAATATATCTTGACTTCATACATAGATCGTGGAAAGTTTCCCCGCGCTAAAATAAAGTCGAATAAATTCTACTATTAGAATGTTACCTGCTAAAATACTGTTCTGCATTTTGCGGAACTAGCGGTGTAATGGCGGTCTCGGAAGCGGGAGATTACAATATTAAATATTAAAGTTTGCGGTTTGTCTTTTTGGCTTTCAAAGTTATTTTGATAAGTCTGCCATATATGAAACGCTAATTTTCAGCAGCATATTTCAACCTATCGCGTTCCAAATTTATTTTAGGATATGCCTTATAATGTGTAGGCAAGAAATAGAAATTAAATGTTTATATTTGTAACACAATTAATTGCTAGTAGTTTCATCATCTGTCTTACGTGAAATAAAACTTCTTTATGCGCGCTGGGAGTAAAAACTCAGAGTCTCTAACGAGACGAAAAGTGGTAACTATCTGTGCCATCTACTAACAGCATACGGCTTCCTATATACTTATTCCTTCAAGACGGACCAATCTGGTATACAGACAGGAGAGCTGGAGCTGGAGTATTTGGGGAAAGACCAAGGGTAAGTTTATCTTTTTCCTTGGGTACTCAACCGTATTTCAGGCAGAAATCATCGCCATTTTACATGTGCGAGGGAAAACAACAGAACAGCATATTCAAGTAAGCTTATCAAAATATACTCAGACAGTCAGGCGGCACTTGGAGAGCTTATGAGCTCAAAGGTATCGTCGAGACTAGTCTGGGAATGTCTAGGTGAACTGGGAGCTCTGGCACGAAGGTACAGAATTAAATTATTCTATGTACCGGGCCACAGAGAAAATCAAGGCAACAAAAAAGCCGATGAGCTAGCTAGGCAAGGATCATCGGCATCCCATCTTAGTCCAGAGTCAATAACTATAACTCTGAATTAGGAAAAAGCAGAATATACACTCGAGAAACAGACAGGGGCACAGGCACAGCAAGGCCTTTGTCCAAGGACCTAGCTCTAAAACCACAAAAGAACTGCTAAAGCTTAGCAGGAATAAAGTACATTACAACAGGCCTCAAGATTACAACAGGCCTCTTAGCACATGGCTGTTCAGTGTTACCTGAAGAAGCTCAACCTGTACCAAGAAGTGTTTGATGCAGACTGTGCGATAAAGATCCTGAAACAGCGGAGGACATAATATGCCACTGCGAGGTTCTGCAAAGCTATGCTAGAACCGGAGGAACTATGCAGAACAGCATATCAAATGTACATATATAGGAAGGGGACAAACACAATAGGCCTCACAGGTCGCAGTGTTCAGGTAGAGGACGTTGTTGACAGACAAGTGACGCAAGGTGTATTGGTGAGAAGTCTACGTGTTTATAAAAAATATTGGTATTTTAATACAAATTTTGTTAAAGTGAATCAAATTATTTATTAATTTTTAATGTGTTAATTTTTAACTTATTACTTTTTCATTTCAAACATTTCAAACAACACTTCAAATATGCGCACATATATATGTGAACACCCAATTGTTGCTGCTGGTAGCTCTTGTATTTCAAGATTTGCCAATATTATGTGGTCAATAACGACATTGCCAGAACAATGACTGACAAAAGTCAATAGCATGTTCCCATGTTTAACATTAGGATTTTTTGCCTTTAATTCATGGCAATTTTCGTCAATATCTTGGCTATGACGATATTATCTGATGAAATTGTGTACTTACGTTATTGGCCCCGTATTACCGTAAATGGCCTTCATACTTCCCCATTATCCGTAACATATGTAATATCCGTTGTGCGTTGTATATCGTAGTATAACCTAACTTATAAATCAAAATAAACTATCGAATTAAAATAATAGAAACATCTATCACAGTAAAGGATTTATCGTTTAACAGACTATACAGTCAATATTAAATAAGTACAAATATTTTTAGGGATTTGATATTTCGACCCTAGAAACACACCTGTGAGTTTTTTAGCGTTTTTTTGTTAATTTGGAATTTTTTGAAAAAAAAATTTGGATTTTTTTTTAATTTTTACTTAAAAAACATAATATCTTTACAGTATGTCGACATAGATAGTAGACTAAATTTACAAAAAGAAAACCAGATCCAATAGCTCTCAAAATTTAAGCGAAAAATCTGCGCTTATTTAAGACCCACCGAGTATAATATGACAAAAGAAGAATATTAATAGGTTTTATTTATATATAAGAAAATATTTATAATATTTATTTTTAGACAATCCATTGTGGAGTTGTATTTTGTCGCACTTTATTGGACTGACGTTCCTGTTAGTGTTGGGCTGTTCGAATTCAATGCTAGTTAGGGGAGTTTATAAAGATGGGAAGGAGCCAAATGGAGAATGTGTCGTATTTCCCTGTCATTATTTGAGGATATTATTTGAAGAAGAATATTCTTATAATGACAGCAGCAGTGAGAGTAGCGTTACGAAGTTGTATACCGAAGTTGAGACTGCATAAAATGATTGAACCCGTCTTGAAGTAAAGTATCAGATTGCTTTAAAACTGTAAAATAAGTTGTTGTAATACGGTGATAAATTTTGTATTAAAAATATATAATTATAGATACTCTCTTTCCTTTTTACTTTTCTAATTTTTCAACATTTTAAACTACACTCTTTCAAACATGTCCTTCAAATCCAGATGATGATGCCAGTATTACTCATCAAGCAATACTACTGTTATATTAAGCAATCAAGGCCGCGTAAACAAACGTAACATAAATACAATTTTATATACTAATTTATTATAATAAAATTAAATAATAAACATATTGTAATTATATTCCTGCAGATTGAGTGGAAAGTTTTGTTCTTAAATACCTACTCTACTTGTTAAAAACGCGTGTTCAAATATTGATCTTGTGGAATATATATCAACATAAAACGAGATGTAATTAACGAAATATCATTACAACCACAGCTATTTTAGAAACGTCTAGGTTTACTAATTTTACTGAGATTTATGAAAAAAATGTCCTTTGCATCGGGTACAGATACCGCCATGTTTTGGTAATAACTCGAAACGAAACAAACTTGAACGAGGCAACAGAAAAGGCCAAAATCCCCCCGCGCCCTCCTCAAGAGTAGTTTTCATGCGCTTTTAAGAATCAAAAATAGATCGAGGCAAGCCAAAGTGGCCCATGACAACTGGAATTAAACTGAAATGAGACAAAGTTGGGCGACAAAATGCGACATTGACCTGGTTCGGAGAGTTCTCCGCATAGTGTAGAAGCTGTTTTAAGCTATTTTTGTTGGTTATATGATTTTTTTACGAAAATTCTTTTTTACTTTTAACAGTGTTAAGCTGGTGTTCGTTTAAATTATCGGAGTGAGATTTTACAAAAAAAAAATATTTTTTTAATTTTTTAGATTTCTGTTTCAGTAGCAAAACACCTACTTTTTAAAATCTGTGAGATACCAACTATAGTAAAGTAAAAATAGAAAAAGGCATGCTTCTCTACTCTATTTCAAATAAAAATACAACAAAATTGTGTTTCAGTTTTCCTAAAAATTCTGTAGTGCATAGTACGTGGGTAACAAGTAGTAAACGGATAACATAAAGAAAGAAAACTTTTTGCCTGATATCGTCTAAGGAGTGTGTAAAAAGATGACACGGCCTGTTTCAAGGCAATGTAAACTTTATCAGAGTTTTTGAAAGGTTTTATCTCCAAGGGGTTGTTAGCTAAAACAAAGTGTAGTCAAGTTAACTCGCTAAATCCTTTTATACAGTGACGTGACGAACAAAGAATAATAACTTTATTGTGTTAGTATATATTATTGCATTTTTGACTTCATTTTTGACTACTGTCCATAGTCCTAAGATATTGTTAAACATGTTTCGATAGTTTCAAAGATATTAATAAATAAATAAAAAATATATATTTTTCAGGCTTTTATAAAAAAATTATTACAAATACAAGAACTGACCTGAAATGAAAACTATATCAGGTATTTACTTTCGATGCTCTATACTTATTTTGTTATAAATAGCCTAATCCTAAATCATACAGAGCGTTCAAATTTCTACGCCAAGCTTTCTGATAAATATAAAATAATTTTTCTCCGTTTTTCTAAATGCAACACCATTAAATGGAGAATTAAAAAATTTATATTTTTTTGTATTTATAGTATTTCAAAATTTTTGACGGTTTCGCAGATTCTCGTGTCATTATTTCATATGGCTTTTTCAACGGTAAAATACAAAAGAAAAATCATTGGGTGGCTTTGATAAAAAATTTACTGTGGAAAATGCCATTTGAAATATAAAACCGCGAATATGTGAAAAATTATATTTATTTGAGAAATATATATTTTATTTATTTATTTATTAATATCTCTGAAACTATCGAAACATATTTACCAATATCTAATGCTGGAAGTACACACTCGCCGAGGCGACCCAAGGCGCGACAAAAGAAGGACGGTTCTAACCAATAGCCCTACGTATACGGTTAATTTTTTGTCGAGTAGCCTCGAGTCGCCTCGGCGAGTGTGTACTTCCAGCCTTAGGATTGTGTAAAGTGATCTGAAAGGAAGCCAAAAATACAATAATATACTGTGTGTTCCATTTAAAAAAAATCAGCCCGATCCACTCACACTTTTTTGAGTTACCTTGAGTACTTGAGTAGAAGTTAAAATATTTTCCTAAAATACATCCTAGTACATACTTTAAGTTTGCACTTAAACAAAATTCCCAAATTTTTTGTCCTAGGAACTAAAAATGCCCGACGCACTATTGCTGGACCCTGAAGCTACATATTTAAAAAAAATATTCAAATTTTGATTAGGTTGACAACTCCACTGGTTTGAGATCTATGCCATTAATAATTAGATTAATTTTACTAGCATAATTAAAAAAGAGATTACCTACGGTTGGAACAAAACACATAGTTAAACACTGGACGCGTCTTTTGGTAACCATGTTAGCATCATAAGCAGACGATTACAACTAAACTAATATCTACAAATTGAGCATTTATATAGTCGCCCAGTTGGCATTGACCCCCGTAGCGAAACAAGCCAAACGAATCAGAATCAACCGAGCGTAACAGTTAGTTAGCGAAACTAGAGCAATAGTAACACTGGAAGGAATTGGACCAGTATCTCTGTTAATATTATATATTTTATTATCAAACAAAAGATGTTATCGTGGAGACTATAATAAAAAGAAGAAATAATTTATTGGGCAATCCACAGCAAGATGAGACATGACTGTAGGCACTCAGTGTTTCTGTCTTCCGGCTTCGTCAATACGGGAGGAATCAGCAACGATGAACTAGCGATCCTATAAAAAAGAAGGGAAGCAAACGAGGCACAAGGCGCCATTTGCAGCCTGGTTAGGCAGTAGCTTACAATTTGAAGCGTTACCACCGAAAAACCGCTGCGGAGGCGCTCCAACACACCAGGCTGCAAATGGCGCCTTGTGCCTCGTTTGCTTCCCTTCTTCTTTTTTTCAGGATCGCTGGTTCATCATTGCTGATTCCTCCCGTATTGACGAAGCCGGAAGGCAGAAACACTGAGTGTCTACGGGTAGTCTGTTTTAGTCATGTCTCAGGACTAATCTTACTGTGGACTTGCCCAATAAATTATTTCTTCTTTTTATTATAGTCTCCACGATATATTAGATATTAGATTAGATATTATTTGATGAGAAATCAATGAGTACTTATGTAAAACTTTCACAAGTTAATGATATTAAATTTTTTAAAGGTTGCTATTAGACTTGGATTAAGGCAATTTAATAAAAAAAAGATAATTTCATCAAGGAAACCGAAATCGACAAAATATCAAGACACAATTTTTTATCGGCATTATTTTTTTTTTGGAAAATATGTCAGTGATAGCCCATATGCACATCTCTGGTGACTATACTTTTTTAACTTCAACATATGTCGCATTAACAGTAACTTCTGCCCTCAATATTTCATTCAAAACGCTAAAAGTACTTGGAAAAAAATTATAATAAATAGAAAAAATAATAAGACCTTAGCTCCCTGTAGCTACGAAACAAAGCAGAAATGGACCAATGTTGATATGAAAAATAAATCTTATATTTTTATGTGAAAAATCTCCCCACGAGATATGGCACATGTTTTTTGAAACGCCCTGTATACAATAAGCTTTATGGACAAAATGTTGAACAATGCAAGATTTATCTGACCTACCATATCTTATCTGGACCATTATGTTCTTTAAATCTAGTTAATATTGATCTTCTAGTTGGCCCAACTAATTTCTGACTACAATCTATATATGAAATCCCATAAATACTTTTCCAGCGAAGGTGTTTTATCTTACCTAATACCATAAGATTACCTAATAGTTGTTGTAACTTATTATTATTATTAGCACTATACACAGGTTTATAACTGACATTCTTGAAAATTGTTTTTGAACCACTGGATAACTCTCTATCAAATGGTATTGAAATATACTTTTTTCTACGACTAGCCTAGAAAATGCAGTTTAACACACGGAAAACTCGATCTGAAATTGGCGTTTTGCAAACTGTTGTGTGATAAGGATTTAGCGCATGACATGTGTCATTTTACACACGACATGTGCCAATTTTAACATTTTTAACCCCAATGTTTAGCTGAAACATGATTGAAACGCCGAACGCAACGCAGCCGTCAGAAAAATGTCATCATTACATCGCAAATTATTTCACAAAATTGACAAAAACTGAGTGAGTCTGCTGCTAATTTGTAGTCGTAGAAAAAATAACGTAAAAAACTCGTTCGAAAACTTCTTTGTACACTTGTTCGATTTGTGGCAAACTGTCGAACTCGTGTGCAAAACTTCGTTTTCGAAACTCGTTGTTTAATATACTATGATGTATCTTTCAACACTTGAAAAGTTGAATTCGCGCAGTCAGTTTCAAAAAACAATGTATTGTGGTCAATTAATGCTTTATTAAAAAAGATGTTAGAATTAAAATACGTCTTATAATAGGACTAGAAAGAAAAAATATTTTAAATAAAATCATTTTTTGATTAATAAAAAATAATCGCTTTGAATAAAGTTTTACGTTCATTTTTCATTTTAAAAAATTCTGTATAAAATGATCATGTTCGTTAAGAGGAATGAGTCAATAACTTAGGAACTCCTATTCCATTATATTTTTAGTTTAAGATAAGAGAAAGCAGAAATCAAAAAGAAATTTATGTTCCAGTGCCGTAATTGAATTTTAAAATCGATTCTTCCCTGCGCCACGGTTGAAGCAGTTCAAGTGCGATATTTATAAAAATGTTTAAGAGTTGACACCATTGCCCAATAAAAGATGACTTTTATAATTTATTTTAAATACTGCTTGACTAAAAACTAAGAGGAATTTGTTATACTATCTAATCAATTGGTTACTATACAGGGTAGGCCTTAAATAAATTCAAATTAATTCAGAGCTGGTAAAATTTTTAAGGTAATTGTGTGTGGCTAGCATTACGCTTCAATCGCCTATATTACCTCAGGATTGTGAATCCCAAGTATTCATTTAAAGCTGAGTTGACCTTTAAAAAAATAGTCGGCTGATGAAATGCCGGCTGTGGGATTCGAACCCACAACCTTTGC